AAAAATTAATGACAAAAATTAGATTTGGATAAAAATTTAAATTTATAATATAAATTTGTTATTAAATTGAATTTGGAAATGCGATAAAATACGACTAAATATTTATTTCGTTGTCTTCATCACTGGTGACCAGAAATATGCGATTTCTTTTGGTTTCGATATGTCCAGAACTAAGAAAATCCTTATCAATTTTTTGAAATTTTTCCTTGTGATGGGCATTAAGTTTGTTAGGCATCTCTCATTTCGTGCATGTTTTAATAAATTACCCAATATGAGGCAAACTACAATAATTAGGTATAGGAATGTTTATAGATAAATTGTAGAGAATTAAATTCCCTTTCGGGTAGGCTAATAAAATATGAGGGGTTCCATTTAAAATTTTCGACTTTCTTGCGGTTGAATATGGTGAAACGGTAATACAATTTTTGACCACACTGTATAAGATACTCTGATATAATAAATGATAATCTATTTGACAGCATCTAAAGAGTAATCGTGCCAATTTAGATCTTTGATGAATGAACATTGGCTGAGATATGAGGTTTTAAAGAGCATGTTGAAATTAACCAAAAAAAACTTAAAACCAAAATAACTCGAAAACGAAAAACGCTAGGTACCAATAACTTTTATCAAAGTCAACATATTTTTTTACGTATAATTAAAAGGTGTAATAAAAACTATAGCATTCCATTTAAAATAACGAAGTTATGGTCTACTTCCGGTAGACCGGAAGTGGCGGCCATCTTGAAAATATTTTAGATCGAAAGTTTCAAATGAACAACCCATGCTACCAACATTTTAAATCTCTACTGGAACTCTAATGGAATAGTGGAATCTGAAAAACTTCTAACGAACCAGTAACGTGAGACACCCTGTATATGAAGGAAATTATTTTATATAAAACTTCTTACTTGCTTGTATTTTAATGTTTATTGATACCTGTTTCGACTTTTAAGTCATCATCAGCCAAAATGTCAAATTTTGAAGAAAATTAAAATACAAGCAAGTAAGAAGCTTTATATAAAATAATTTCCTTCATATATCTAAAAAAAATTATTGGCAACTTCAAAAGTGATGTAAGTTATTTACCTTTAATAAAATCCACTCGTTTATTTTCATTATTTAAACTAACTGTAACATTCCCATCTTCATATGTTGTGTAATCAAAATAAATTATAATTTCATCAATTGATTTTTGATCAAAATCAACTTGAAATGCCCAAGTAATAGAACCGACACTCACAGTTTCTTCTCTGCACAAATAGGCATTTCTCCAATCTTTCTCTTCCTTACGAAATACACCATTCATCTTAAAAACACCATCGGAGAAATTTTTAATTTTTTCATTATTTACAAGATATTGATCTAAAGATGTACAATATTTTAAAGAAAATATATTAGTATCACTAATTTTCCATATTTTTCCTTCAAAATCTCGTTTTGTTTCCCCCCTACTTAACCTCCAAGCCATAGACCCAGAAGTTCTTCCTTTTTTATCTTTTTCAGTAGCCTCCTTTTCAACCATCATCTCAATTAACTCACATAAAACCCTTTTATTTAAATATTCCCTCCTAGTTTCACTTAATCCTTTTTGCCGTTCGTTTCGTAAACTACAAATGGCGCTAACTAACTCGATTTCGGTACATTTTTTACGTCTGGATAAAACTTCTTTATGACGACTTGAATATCTCCAGGTGACATCTTGAAGATCTTCACCCGAATAAGCAATTATATAAGACAACTTTTTATTCCAGCCCGATTCGTACATTAACGGTGTGTCTAAAGCTGCTTCACACGAATCACAGTGCAACCATCGTTTTTGAGCTACCGAATAAACTTCGGTCCATACATGATCCGTTTCATCGTAAACGTGACGAGCCTCCCAACCCATTGCGCGACAAAATAAAGTAAATGTATTAGCCCATTCGCCGCAGCGCCCTTTTCTCGTTGCTAAAAGAATATTTAAATCGTTAAATCTTGCGAATGGCGTTGAAGCGTTGCAAACAGTGCAGTTGTGGATCTATAATAATAAATAAAGTAATATTAATTTATATTAATTAAAATTGAATTACTTCGACTCTATCCGTGTATTTTAAAAGTTCTGAATCGGTTGACATGTGGGAAAATTTTGTGGGGGAATCGCATTTTTCACATTTTGGGCTATCAACCCAAGAGAAAAAATCATTTTTAAACCAAGCTAATAGCTCCGATAATAATACATCTTGCATGCTTATGTTGGGATCTTCCAAATCACCTAATTAAAAATAAATGTATTTTGAGGTTCATTTTGCATATTTTAATGTTTATCATAAGACAGTGTTGCCACCAGACCAGTTTTCACCCCGACAAGCCGGTTATTATTATTTTGTAACTCATGTTGATATTGTGTGTTTTTAGGAATTTACCAATTATTCAATTTAAATTATTGTATGGAACGGATCTATATGTTTCTTTTTCTTTGCGTTTTTTGTAGTATAGAGGATTATGTTGTATGTATATGTTTGTTATTATTATTTATTATATTATTTGGAAAATTATTAACTTTTGCAAGGTTTCTAATGAAGTTAATTTCAGTTGTTATTTTATTTTTATCTCACCGTCCATAAATATAAATGCATCTATAAACAGCTTTAATCATAAAAAACTATACTCTGTTTTTAAACCAGGAGGAGTATTTTAAATTTGTCACCAGATTGACCTTGCACGTGATTGGTTAAATGCGAGGAAGGTTCACACACAGGCAATTTTGAATTTTGATTTTGAATTTGAAGGTTAGGTTATTGACAATTCGACAGTTTCGTGTCATTATTGTAAATTTTGTGTTCTTAAACCCTTCTTTATGATATTTTGAAATAAATACACTCATAACTTCAATGTTAATTTGTATGTTTAGTGTTGACGATAACAAACGAAAATAAATACAATAATAAGTAAATAAATAAATAATAATAATTATTAATTTAAATTTACCGCCAAAATATCTAGTGATATTTTCTGGTGATTTTTCCTAGTGTAAATCTGACTTTCGCGTTTACTCCTCCTGGTTTAAAAACAGAGTAT